AAAAAAAAAGGGCCAATTTCGGCCTAGCCAATCATTTTTTTTTTTTTTTGTAATTGGATTGGGTCACTTGTTCTTGGCTCAATCCTTAATTATATAATATATAAGCCCAACCCAAATCTCATTCTCCCTTCTTTCGAAATCAATCCCTAAATTCTCAACTTCACCTTCTTCAATCTCCAATCTCTCGAGTTTTACTCTCAGTCGTCATCGTCGCATGCCACCACCACCAGTCCAGTTAGCTCGCCGTCAGGTTGTACCGTTTGTCCGTCGCGAGATTTAGTGAAAGTGAAACCGTAAGTTGTTTTTGATTAAGTAGACTATCATTTTTTAAGTTTTTATGAATTATTTTGGTCATGTTATATTTGATGTTAAATCATGAATGCAATGAAATGCAAAAATTTCATGTTTGTCCGACTTCTTTGCTGATGAGTGAAGCCTGATAGGTAATTAGGTATACTTTGTTCTTCTGCAAATTGCAATCAGTAAATTTATTGTCTTGTGCTATTGTGCATTGATTTGGAATGAGAAATTAGTTGTATTATTATCATAAATTTGAAATGAGATTGTATCGTTGATTGTCGGAATTGACCGGTCAACGTCCTTTTGAGTTGAATTTCAATGCTAGATCCATCCCTGATGCTACACATACGCATGTACCTACCTTTCTAATTCTTTTCTCAACTTTTTCGTTCGCTCATGCGATTTCTTCTTTGTATCGTGTCCTTGGGATTTTATAAACATATACCCAATTTCTTATGCCAACTCCAATGACCAAATGGTAATATTTCATTAGCAATTCAATTGCCAAAGAGTCCTTTTTCCTCGACTCTCATTTTCAGCCTCCAAGTGCACGTAGACTAAATTTGCAATCACCGCATATTTGCAAGTTTAATCCTCCAACTTTATAGGCAACGTTCTTTTTACCCTTTCCTTATGTTTTGCCAATTCGAGTCACCTAAACCCAACAAGTTCAAAAATCTCAGAGTCCACTTTCATCATTAATTGCAGGGGAAAGAGGAGGTATGTTCCCATTGGTCTAAGTAACTCACGTGGAAGCATGTAGAAATGATAAAAAGCGGACTAACTTGGTAAACATTAGTTGTTGTACCTGTACGGTTTGTCAAGTACGATCCGATCCGACCCACGACGTCAGTTCAACTTTCCACTTTCTTTACTTTTACTTTTTTTTTTTAAATGTGTTGGACAAAATGATTATTGGTGTGGGGACACCATGACGACCGTGTGCACGGAAGTCAATAACGTATCTCAGATGCCTAATTAATATACAGCTATCTTCTAAACTACCACCTTTTAATTAGAAAAAAATCTTTAATTGCTGATTAATAATTGCATCAATAATAAGTCACGGTTCACAAGCAAATGGAATAATCCTATCAAACTATCGTGTACTAATAGTTTACCCTATAATTACCCAATTTAAAGAATGGTGTACAGTGGCTCACGTGGCAGAGAGTGGTTTAACTTCATATTTTATCCAACATTCAACGAAATTGTGCCGTGTAAATTTCCATGTACATATATCATCACTCATAATTACTTATTTATTATCAGAAGATTGACTGAAGTGTTAAAGCACGATCAGTTGTTCGTCCGTTTATCATTAAAAGCCACGCAAATTTGTACAGAAGAAATTGAACCTTAAAAATATTTGCTCGATAGTTAATGAGAAGACTAAATGATTTCTTATTAAGATAATACTAGTGTGTCACCCGTGCGA